TGCATCTCCTTGCATTCTCAGGATGTTACCAGGCAGTACTCTATCCAGAAGCCTTTCTGAAAGAACAGCAGGAGCAGAACCAGAGTGGAGGAGTTAGCTTGGTGGTTTTGGAGGGTCTCCCAGGAAATACCAGGAAGAAAGGAATCCAGTGAAGGGGCATCACCCAGAATTGACCACATTGGATAAATGGGACTTAGTTCTATTGTGGCGCTCTGGTAGAAGACAGGAAATACGGAGCTCAAGGGAGGGGAAGCTGGGATTCTTAGACACCCATTTGTACTAGCCATCAGTTGAAAGCAGCTCTTGAGGACATTTAATTTCCTAGTACTGTGGTCTGTCCTGCAAACAGATAATGATGGTCTACTGACCAGAACACATCCTCAGAGAATGACACAGATACTGGCAGTAGAATTAGAGCCATGAACAATGAAGAGTTTAGGGGGACATAGGGGTATCAATGATTTCTGTACTAGGAGAAGCCTGGAGGTTCCACCAAGAGCCACCCTCAGAGAGGACAGAGAAGAGCAGAGGCTGAGAGTCAGGAGCAATGAACTAGGTAGGGGCCCATTACGTCATTCTAGCTCTAGAGAATCCTTCTGTATGAGAGGGCCTCTAGGTTGGTCTGGATTTGAGTCTTCCTGGTGCTTCCCACTTTAGGAAGAGAATACCATTCTATGGAGTTTATCTGTTATGAAGTTGGGCGCTTGGCAACATATACTCCTGGAAAGCATAGATGTTGCTTCATGCATGGGAGACCCCTTTTCAAAAAGCATATGACATCCTGGCAGATGTCAGAGCTCTGGCCATGGCAGTCCTATATACTCACTATATGACTGTTTGACCTTGGGTATTGGTAGATCTCTGGGCTGTTTCTCCTGGCTTGTGAACTCAGCGGCTCGACTGCTGTACACGAAACATCTATGATTCCAAATGTCATATATGATTTAGATTTCATTTTCATTAATTTTTTATATGGGTTTTCTGCATTGGACTCTGACCTCATAGGTGAGGAACAGGACAGAGAAATGGAGGGGACTTGCTACAGGTCACCAGAAGTTAACGGGCAGAACAGACTACAACTTGGCTCTGCCTGACCTCCTGTCCAGTAAAACTGAGTGACTTTTCTAAGATTTCCCCAAGACTCAGGTAAAAGAAGCCTTAGCCAATGAGTATGAGCCCTGGGATTCATTTTTTACATTCTCCACCTGGTTCTACAGTCTAGGCGGTTGGTCTCCAACAACCATATGAGATTCTCAAAGTATCACTAGAGAGCTGAAATAATAAGACTGTTGGAGGTCCAGGGAAGTATCTGATCATTAGCAATTCCAATGGGTTCCAAAGTGATGCTGCTATTGTTGCCCAGGGACCACAGCTTGAAAGCCTGTCCCCTGGCTTCTAATTGGGTTCAGCTACCAGACATAAAAAGCATAGAGTGGGTGGAGGCAAGAGAGCAGGGTCAGCTCCCTTTGTTGGAGTTGCCACTAGAGGACGCACCTGGGCTTAGGTAGTTTCTGTCTCCAGGTCCTGGTGATTTCTCCCTGCAGAATCCTTGCTGGCTTCTTTTGTCTTTGCTCCTAGATTACACCTTTGTGAAGTGACCTGTCATTACTTCTTAAAGGATGCTATCTGGGGGCTCCCATCCATTTCCCAATGGGATCCTGACTGATCACAGGACAGTGGAACTTTATGGAATTTATGGCCCTTGTGAGAACTTTCTTCTCCACAGTCATCTCCCTCCTGCCAGTCCAGAAAGCTCCAGAATGTCCCCAGGCTGGGAGATGGACACTTTGCTTTCTTGAAATCTCTTCTTGCACATAATCTCTGCCCTGGAGCTATCTGAAAGCAAAGGGCTTTCTTCTCACTTTGCCCATTCATTTCTTCCCATTTCATTCCTTTCTTTTCTACTCCCTGGAACACCCCATCTCCATTACTACGTTCTAAATACAGTCATTTGGAAGAATGAGCTTTTCCACCAAAGTTTCTCTTTCACAGCTCCTGCCCTCCTCTTTTCCCCTTTAATCTTTTCTGTGCTCCCTGGCCTGGGCCTTCATCTTCCACTCTGGCCCTTTGGGAACCTGGGTTCCTTAAAATGGTAATCATAGCTTGTTTTCTTCTTGTGTCAAGAATATTTCTGTTTGCCAAGGCTGGGCAGGCATGGCCTTTGGGAGGGACACATATAAAAAAGGCAGGGATACTTTCCTGGCTTCTGGGCTGTTTCTCTTTAACATTTTTCATTGAAACCTCAGGACCCCCCCTTTTTGCCCCCTTTTATGTCTTTTGTTGCTCTTTGGATCCACAATTTACCTTGACTCTGTCTCTCTGCTGCACTTAATACAGACCTATACTAGCCCTGACATGCTCTAGCCCCTGAACTTCAATTAGAAAAGAGATTAGGGTTTATTTAAAACCACCAAGAGGATGCCTAGGGCCCCTGAATCTTCTCCATCTCTAGTTTTCTTTCTGCAGGGGTGATATAAGACAAAAACTCCAAGGCAAGACATGTCTGAAGGAAGAATGGTTAGCCCTGGAAGGCTGAGGCTGAGGGAAGAGGCAGCCTGGAAGCTGTTGTAAAGCTCACTGCTGCTGGGAACAACTTTTAGATTCTCTCTTGGAATCTAAAAAGGTGTGAAAGAGGCCCATCTGTGGACTGGTGAGGGACAGGTGGTTTTATGGCTAAGGTTTCTCCCATCTGTGTTCACTCTTCAGATTTGCTGTCTGTCTTGTGCTTGGGCATAGCATCCTTCCCTGCCTTTGGATATAGTCTTTAGTCAGAGATGTGGACAGAGAAGGGTGGAACCCTGAGGTTTATGGAATGCAAACTCCAAAAAGGAGCTCACACACAGCATCCACAGCTAGAAAGCAGCTCCCTAGAATAGCAGCCCTGAGTACCTGATTCCTGTTAAGCCTATCCTGCCTCTGGCACCCATTCTGCCATTGGTGCTGCTGTACAGTAAGTAATGTGGCTACAGGGCCTAGGAAGTCGCCTCAGCAGTGGAGTTCAATCCCATTCATACCAACTTCTGCACCTCGGGCTCTCAACTGGAGCTCTCAGCAGGAATGGTTTGCCCTTCTCTCTTTCCGGTCCTATCTTCTCTTTGCTCTTCCCTTTTGGGATTTACCCTTCATTGTTTGCTTAATCCACTCTTCCTCTGGCTATCCTTCTACAGTGTTCACTATCTATTTTGGGACATAGTAGAGAGAAACCCAATGCTCGCGCCCTACAGGATCCTCCCCATGTTCAGTTACATCAGTCATATGGGAGCTTTGGGGAAACAAAAATGCAAGATGGCCATGGTTCTGCTGCTGTGATGCAGCTATGGGAGGCAAACAAGCAGGCTCATCCCAACGCCTCTCAAGGTACAATGATACAAAGGCCAAGGTGAACATAAGACATAGAACTCTAGGGCTGAATATTGGGATTCACCTACATGTTTAGGGTCAGAAAGATTCCCCTAGTGAGTGATGATAGTTGATAGACAGAAGAAGTAGACATTAGCAAGTGAAAGAGAGGAGGCACTTTGATGGAGAGAATGGAATGTGTCAAGGTGACCTTGAGGTGTGGAAGGAAACATGGAACGCTCAAGAGCTGTGTGATAACCAGTGTGGCTTACCAAGGGGACTGTGATGGGCTGAACCCCCATGAGTGGGTCTAGTAAAGGCCTTGCGAGAAGGGGAACTCAAGGGTGAAAAGGAACATCTAAAATGGGCTTTTAATAGAAAAATAACATCATCTAGTCATGTAGTAAAGATCTTTATGAATCCTGTCAAGGATCAGATAGGTAGAAAATTTTGGCCAGTTGGATATGGAGGAGATAGGGAGAGAGTGGTCCACCAACCAGGAGACAGTTGGTGATGACCCAGGTAAGGATGAGCTGTGGAAGGCCTGAGGAGACCTTTCCTATCTTTTATGTATCTCTCATACATCTTGGCTTCTGCCCCTTGGCTTGAGTATTCCCATCTCTCAATGAGTAAGTCTCCCTTCCTTATGTTCTGGACATTTACTTTTCACATTTGTTCAATATTCCTAGGAGCAGGACATTGGAAACCTATTTTAGACAGTGGACCCTACTTGAACTCACAACCTTACAAGGACATTGCATGATGCACTCAATACTGTAGTATACACCAGGCTCTGTGCTGAAGCAGATGATGGTGGGGATGAGTCATGGTGAATAGCTGTTTCCCAGTGCCCAGTACAGGAAGTCTTCAGAGGAGACCCATACATTATGCCTTAATACATGTTTGCTGACTATTTGGATATCTCTTTCCGACATTTCACTTGCAAGAAATCTTGCTGTCTGCATGCAAGAGAGAAATTATAAATGTTTTCTGATTAGTTCCACTATTCAGAGCCCATTCCTAAATCAGCACAGGAAACAGCTAAGCGAAAACTTCTGCTTCTTTCTCCCTTTACAAACTGCCTGTGTCTTATTCTTTCTCCAGCTTCTTTCTTTGGTGATGTCTAGACAGCTAAAACAAAACTTTTAAGTGTGCTAGAAATAACTTGTCCCTTAGGATTTCTCCCTTTCTCTTTTCTTTGCCCAAACTTGGGTACCTTGAGATTTTTAAGAAATGTTCCTCACACAGTAGACAAGATGTCAAAGGCTTAGGTTGGGCTACAATAGATCACATGAAGGCTGTTGTGGGCAACTCTTAACAGAGCACCAACTCAACATTTTGTCTGGGGTAACTGCCCTCTCTCCCTGTGTTGCCTTGAATGAATGAATGACTCTCTACTGGGCTACATATATAATACATTCATATTATCATGAAAGTGCCAATACTTGTGTGCTATCAGTGAGTGGTAGTCAGCT